TTGTCGAATCGTTCTTGTCGAATTACATACATATCTGAAAGTGATCACTTTTGAATATTATAATTGAAAGGAATATTTTAGAAACATATTGTCGGAATGATAGATATATGCAAATTACAGTGATCACGTATACCGCTCGTGAGAAATGTATTGATTTTTGTGATCGAACATGTCTACATCATTATTCATGAATGTAAACTGAAGAGTTAAAGTCTCTCCTGAGAAAAATATAACTTCAAAGTTTAACTCGTCGATGCGTCGATATCAACTCGTATGAGTTGTTTGTAAACAACGGACGGATTTAGGATTCATTTGGGCAATTCTTGATATCAAAGTAAAATCTTAGCACCTACACACACACACACACACACACACACACACACACACACACACACACATATACACACACACGCGCGCGCGCGCGCGCAGCAAGGGTATTAACATTCCCATAAGCTGGACGAGATCCAAATTACATTGGAATCCCGATACCACCATGTCGATATCATTCGATTAGCCGCGAGATGCAATGACAGAGGATCGTATCGAGTAATATCGATTGCGGTATTATGGCGTTGCGTTTACTGCACGGTTACTCGAGGCATCGCTCTGTGTCGTGTAAAATCACTAGCCCTGCTCGTAAATGCGGGGCAGAGTTGTTCGACGACGGGGTGTCGACGGAGAGAACACACGACGGAAAAGGTCGAGAGAGGGGAGAAGGGGCGAGAGGAGGGAGGGGGGGGGGGGGACAAAGTGTTGAGGTGGGGTGGGATGACGACCGTGACGCCGCGGGTGGGTGTGCACGAGCGTGCGGCGTGCACGCTTCTCCTTTCGTTCCGCCGGCACGCGTGACGTCATCCCACGTACGTACGTACGTACGTACGTACGTGTAATAGCAGCGCACATGACACAACAGCGCGACACAATCCGATAGCGTGCGCAACGTAGCGTCCAAGTGTGATCGCTCACTCTTTTTCCCAGATGGCCGCTTTATTATTCAAATCTCGCAAGAGCGGAGAAAGTATTAAAGAAAATTCGAAATCTCATTCTTTTTCTTCGGAAAAAATACGCAAGGAATGAATGTTAATTTAATCATCGGGAACCGATATCTTCTGAAATTATTACGTAGTAGAAAGTTCTAGAGAATTTTTTTTTTTTTTTATAAAATTGTACTTTCGATTAAACGAAAGCCTTGATATCACATTGAAGCAACACATATCAACGTCTTACATAAGCATTTCCATTACATTGTATCTTTCCGGATTTGATTTTTTTTATAACCCGACTTGTTATTTGCAGCACTACGTTTGGGTTACACAAAGAAGAAGCAACAAATGTTACACAAACTTGATTATCTCGAGCGTATTTTAGCGCGATCGATAACACAAAGGCTACCTGCTGCGTGTGTATTGTGTAACGGTAAATTCGTTCGTTACATCGCAATGAATTGCTACTCTCGGGAATGTTTCTTAGTCTTCTATTCCATATTGAGAATTAATTTAGTTAATTCCTATTGATTATCAATAGCTTGAAAAGGGATATTTCTCTCGTGAGATATTACGTTTAGCATGTATTTTTATCATAAATTGTCGCAACAATCATTCCTTTAACATTGTAATGCCGATATGTAATATTTCTTTTTGATGTTTCTATCCTTTTACTCCTTTTGAAATAATTAACTTTTAGCTATATGTATTTTTACTATAAATCGTAACAGTCATCGTTTCAATATCATAATATTGATGTATATTTCTTTTTGGTTTTCATCCCTTTATTCTCTTCAAAACGGTTAACTTTGCCAACTCTTTGAGCCTTTTCACTTAAATGGAGATTTAATGATCATCCGACCTTTTTCTAGCATCTCAGGTTAGGATAGAAAAATAATCAGGACCAAGGCTGTGTAACTAATGCGCCTATGTTAGTTAAGCAAACTAAAATTTATCTATCAAGGTAATCTCGGTTAAAGTTACACAAAGAAAATAATCTAATGTATAAATTATACAGAGTTAAATAATAATAATTATAATTATTAAATTATAAAGTTGGTATTTTTCTTAAAAATAAAAATATAAATATAAATGATTCAGCTACTGCGTACATTCGGTTAATAAATAATAATTATTTATATTGCACTTTATAAAACTTTGAAGAAATTAATTATGAATAAATGAATTCCTAATTGCGAATACAGTTGCATATGAATCCTGAAAAAGGTCATATGAAAATCGTAGGATGTTGTACGAAATAAATGTTACAAGCTCCTTCCAGTTGATTTCTCCCATGATTACATACAAATTATCTATTGCGTCGCAATATCGTTGTTGTATAAAAAAACTTCACTTGTACATCCGCCAAGTTTTTCGCTTTGTAACGTGTACCTGTTGCTATTTTCGGACTTTTATCCCGGACCTACCACAACACCTTTACCCGTCAAACAGGGCGTGACGTTCGCACCGGCAGCGGAAGTTTAAATCTCGTGGGCGTTCGAGAGAACGAGGAGAGAACGCTCGAGTCGCCATAGTGACCATGATTTTACCCCGTGACGTCATGAATCACGAAGGAGCACGTGGCGCTAACGGCACCCACGCGAGTTTTTCCCTGTTAGCGATTTTTCAGTATTGCGTCATCGCCGCGCACACACGGTGCCCGCGCGTGCATACATACATACATACATGCATCTCGAAAACGTCATTAAGATACTTCGATATTTCCGACATGACGTCACTCTCTATGCGTCACATGCGACTTGATATCGGTTTCCCAAGTGGCTTATATCAGCCCAACGCCGATACAGACGCCGTATAAATTTTGATGATGATGAAACATCTATAGACAGATGAATTTGCATATGCAAAATTTACAAATTGTATAACGTATACTTTGATATGTAATATAAACATATATTCTTATATATTTTTACAATATATAAGAAATGTGAAATAGCAGTTTATAATTTACAATTATATTTAAAAAAAAAAGAAAAAATCATATTCTTTAACAAAATTCTTAAATATTCTTCTCCCGATTATTTATTGTTTTATACATATTCGAAATTTTTATAAATTATTTTTAGAATATCGCTCACCAATTTTTTTCTTAACGGAGTTATCGCGTTATTAAGTTAATTATTAAGAGAAATTTTTCTAACGTAGATAATCGATGCTATCGATACTAGTTTGTAGTCCATTATCGTTTGTGGCATTTATTATGATTGGTATTAACAAAAATAACGTATATGTAGTGGTACTACGAACTAATCGTCAAGGATTTTTTAATCGACGTCATCATGAGCGAATGAGTGACAGCACGTGCCGCGCGGTAACAATCTGGCGGCGTGAAGCGATTTTACGATGTATCACGGCATTTTTATGATGCCAAACAACCTGCGCGAGCCGTCTGCCTCCAAAATCAGTTGCCGACTGAAATTTTACGAGCCGGAATGTGTATTCCGGAAAACGCAAGTTAGTATCGCGTGAACGTCGGCGAATCGATCCGACGCTGCCTTTCTATTAAACACACGTGTATAATACGGGAGCACAGAAATTAAGAAAGAATTATTAAATAGCTTCTAGAAATCTCGATTAATTTGGTACCTATCGAAAAGGTGATCTTGGAAGAATCTGTTGAAAAAATTCAAATGTCTCCTCGCCTAACTTTTTAACGATCCACGTTAAGCGTGTTAGTAATAAATATAATAAATATGTATAAATAGAGATAAACAGAGATAAACTATTTCTTCATAATATTTCTATCCGCTTGTTGGATTAATCGATAAAATGTTTTCATGCATGTTTTATAGCTGGCGAGCGGATTTTCTTATTTTCATAACACGTTTCTAATCCAATAACTTGCGCGTATGTTTGTATAAATATCGATAAGATAACATTTTCTTCCTAGATATTCACGTGTCGTCACACGAAGTATACAAGGTCGCAGGAGAGATGAGAGAAGGAACTATTCCTTGTTAGTTTAATGCAATTAATATGTAACCAATTCCTAAGCACGGACCGGACTGTGGAATTAATATTGACTCGATCGAATTATTTGAGTTTGGCGCAAACCGAGGAAAATATTACACTAGAAAATAATTTCTCAGTATCCATTTGGGCCTATTTAAAATATTTATTATTTTTGAATATTTTCCCAATGATTTACTTACGATCTGGAAAAATGTTGATGACGTTTTTTTTTTTTGTCACGTAACGCGCAATTCGATTCATATGCGATCATACCTCCGTAACGATGCGACGCAGCGACGCGTTCGTGAACGTAGCTAGGTCATCGATGGAGGTCAAATTTGATATCGGAGAAGGAGAGAGAGAGAGAGAGAGAGAGAGAGCGCGAGGACTTTGCTTGAGGACGTGCGCGTGTTATCTTGGCTTGAGCGGACGATTTTTCCGCGCGGGGAATCATCGTCCGTCTAATCGATCGACTTCGCGCAACGTGTTTTTCGCGATATCGCGAACACTTCTCGAAAAGCGCAATTGTTGCGTTCGCAAGATACAGTTACGTTACGGGAATTCGAGGTTGCGAGAAGCGAACTGCATATCGGCGACATCTGACGAGCGTTCCAAGCAATCGAAATTACCGAGAATACCGAACAAAAAAAAAAAAAAAAAAAAAAAACAACGCGTGGATCACTGTGATCATCAGTCGCGCGTATTATATTATTTTTTTATCTTTTTATTTGTATCACTGATTTTCTATCAATGCGATTTAAATTTGATATTTTTCTTGGATTTTTAGTAAATTTATGTAGAGTTTTTAAAAATATTT